ATATTCTATTTACTAAATTTTTTCCTCAAATATTGAATAAGATAGGTGGCGCGAAGCGCCACCTATCGCACTAGTTACCTTTATTCGAAAATTTTTGTCCAATAAGGTATACTTACAAAATCTTTATATTAATGTCTTTTCAAATTTTTCAGCATTTTTCGACCTCTTACATGTGCTTCTAAATCTCTCTTTACACGACTTTGTAGCCCGAACTGTCTTTTCGTAACGAAATTCCAGTGCACCATAAACCATGATGTGTGATAAGCAAGATTCTCATAATATTCAGCTGCAATTTTATGAATTTCGGGTAGCCTTGTCCACGGTACCTAAAATATAAAATAGAAAATTCATTAATATAAGCATAAAAAGAATTAATATACTAAATTTCGAACCTACGTTTGTAAAATCGTGGTGTTCAGTATGATAACCAATATTCATAAATATTTTATTAAGTCCTCCATAACAAGAATAAGTTTCTTGACCATCTTCAAACGTATAATGTTCTTGGATATAACGAGCTGCTACCGGATGGATGCTAAAGCCAAACCATAATGACATAAATAGATATAATAATCCTCTATAACCACAATAATGGTATATGATAATATCTATTAAAAGAGTAAAAACGAAATTCATATATTCCCATAGCTCTAATTCTTTAAACATTGATATATTACGAATGGGATATATTATAGGATAGAAACATATCCATAATAATTTAAATATAGTGCTACAACCGAACTTTTTTTCCCATTCTGAAGGTAGTTCTGGATCTATCTCTTCCACACCTTGAAAGGCATGGTGTTTTAAATGGTGTCTACGAAAAGACATGGATATAGGTATTAGTAATGCTATATTGGCGATAAGACCCACGATACGATTCTGGAATTCTGTTTTCGCCGCGAGGCAATGTGCAGCCTCATGAATTATTATACTATAAATCTGTGTCATAGATCCTCCGAGTATAAACGAAACAATGAACATTGTCAAATTCCAACTGACTAGCCAGTGACCAAATATATATGCTGCCGTCACCTGAACTAAGACTCCGACAATTGTAATGTCTACGGTAATGGTGTCATGTCCGTATAATCTTTTAATTTCTGGATATTGACTTAAAATTGTAATTTTTCTCTTCATATGAGGCTCGTCTAGGTTATCATTGACAAAATCTTCGTCAATGTATGCAACTTTTCTTCGCCAGCCGCCAATATAAAGGGGATGCCTATAATCATAAACGTTAATATATTCATGATTTGAAGAAGGCATTGTGTCTATATCGAAATTCAGGGTTTTATTAGACGCGAAAGCTTTACAAGGCGATATTTCAAGAAAAACTGTTAAAAACAATTCGCAAAATTGTATTTTCCAATTCAACTATTTGAATACATATCACAAAATAAATAAATATCCCTTGAAGATCTGCAGGAAAAATTTGAATGAAGAATAAATCGCATGATTTTAGCTTTTCGTTTTACATTAGAACAAAATTAAACAAGAATTGATTGTGGTACAAATGCCGGAACTTTTTTCTAACTTTTCTGCCTCATATCGATATGTAATAGTAATTCTATTACGTAATTTTATTTTTTATTTGTTAAAACAGTTTAAAAAAATAGAATTAGGGTCAATATGAGATCAAGTTGGGGTATTCATTTGTCCCCCGACAGGGCCGATGGTTTTCTTTATTTCACTCAATTATGCTTAGGTCAAAATTCAGTGTTATCACCGCACCATTACCACGGTCTACGTAGTGTTACTATTGTATTACTTAACTAGAAATATTAATATGTCGGTTTCTGGGGCCCATATTAAATTCGCTGCCAAGTAAACAAGTTATTGGCTGAGTAGCATTCAATAACGGTACGACGACCGAACCAACAGAATAACTCGAGTTCTTTTGATGATGATCACGTCATCATCAAATAATGATGCATTACTATGATTGTACCAACAGAATTACTCGTGATAATGCACATTATCGTTACCATTACCATGGCATGATTCAGCCCAATATGCATAATGTTACACAACAAATAATTTTTTTATATTATTTTTAGAGTGTTGCTATT